AAAAGCGATGCACTTAATTAAAAAAGATATTATACTCAGAAGTGCAAGTTCAGGTAATGTACACTGGAATCCCTCGATTAGTGCGTTAATGTGTTCTTTAAAAGAGCTGCACTAATCGAATATAATAACTTATAGGAAAGCATGTAATTCGTACCTCAATTTTCATTCTCATTCACAATTAATTTCTATCTTGCGTATTTTTTAATCAAAGTATAGGTATATAAGAAAATACGAAAAAAAATGCAATGAATTAAAATTTATTGATCTGATTTTTTTATGAAAAACTTATTTAGAGTGGCTTGTCGTATCGTATTCTTTTGTTCTTCATATAACTGGCGATGCTGAGAAATTTCCTCATCAATTTTTCTGCAAATTTGACGGCTTCTATCTTCATCGGGGATCTGTTTCTAAACATTTTCCCTTAACTTTTTCAATAACCGTGAAAAGTTATTCTAGTTCCTTCTTCGACATCTTCTTATGCTGGCGGGTAGGTAAGATTTCTTCACGTTCATCAATGTCTTCATATGCTTTCTGAGTGTCCAAATTTATAAGATCCTTATTGGTTAGTTCTTCTGAATGAGCTTCTAGCAATTCTTGCACATTTTCATCGTCAATCTCAGCGAAGCCAAGTTATTTTCCAATATGAGTAATCTCTTTAATGACCTCTTCTGTATCTTTTCAAAAGCCTGTGACGTCCTGTGCACAGTGTGGAAGAACTGTCTTCCAAACACCTTATATATTTTTAACTGGAATTTCATTCCATGCTTGATGGATATTATCAAAAGCATCCTTAATACTGAATTTCTTCCAAAATTGAACTAGTGTCATAGAATTCTCTCCAGATGTTGCTTGAAAGTCTTTCTCAGGTAGTAGGCTTTAAAGGTCGCGATAACGCCCTGGTCCATTGGTTGCAATAAAGAGGTAGTGTTTGCGGGCAAAATGTTACTTGGATATTTTTGCACATTGAATCGAGACCAAAAGGGTGACCAGGGGCATTATCTAAAATAAGCAAAGCTTTAAAATCTAAATTTCTTCTTCGGCAAAAGTCTTCAACCATTCGACAAAAATACTTGACGAACCATTCTTCAAACAAAGCTTTAGTTATCCATGCTTTTTTATTAGATTTCCATATTATTGGTAATTGTCCTTGATTTACACCTTTAAGAGCTCTTGGATTCTGAGCTCGGTAAACCAACATAGGCTTTAATTTCAAACTTTTTTTAGCATTGCCGCCCAATAAAAGGGCTAGTCTATCCTTTGCAGCTTTATATCCTGACTGGGAACTCTCAGATTTGGCCAGAAAAGTTTTGGAAGGCATCCATTTCCAGAATAACCCCGTCTCTTCGACGTTAAAAATTTGTTCATCCGAATACCCTCCTTCTTCCACAATTTTCTTCAGAACTTCAGGATATTCATCAGCAGCTTCCTTATCTGCACTAGCTGCTTCCCCTGTAATTCTTACATTGTGCAGGCTAGTTCTTTTCTTGAACTTCTCAAACCATCTTGCACTAGCATGGAACTCCTTTGTCTCGTCTTTGAACTTTTCTTCTTTTAAGATTGAAAAGAGACTTTATGCTTTTTTCTTTTATGAGATCAGTGCTTAAAGGAATTCTTTTCTGGTTACTGTCATCTATCCAGATAGTTAGCAATCTTTCTAATTCAATCATGATAACATTTTGTTTTCGAGTGGTATGCACATAAGTTTGAAGCAGCTTTACCTAAAATTGCTCTTACTGTTGACTCACCTAGTTTGTGCCCTAGGCCTATTTTTGATTTCGAGACACAATCTTCACTTTTTCTTATGATTTCTATTTTTTCTTCTAAAGAAATAACTTTTCGAGTTTTCCTTACAACTTCACT